TATCAGGTACTAAGTTCATGATAAATTTAAGTTCAATTAATCAAATTACTTAAGAACTCCCACTTAGATAGACATCTCTCTAGTCATCTAAGTGATTACATGATCCAATTCAACTAAACCATGTCCGATCATCACGTGAGATGGAGTAGTTTCAATGGTGAACATCACTATGTTGATCATATCTACTATATGATTCACGTTCGACCTTTCGGTCTCCGTGTTCCGAGGCCATATCTGTATATGCTAGGCTCGTCAAGTTTGACCTGAGTATTCCGCGTGTGCAACTGTTTTGCACCCGTTGTATTTGAACGTAGAGCCTATCACACCCGATCATCACGTGGTGTCTCAGCACGAAGAACTTTCGCAACGGTGCATACTCAGGGAGAACACTTCTTGATATTTAGTGAGAGATCATCTTATAATGCTACCGTCAATCAAAGCAAGATAAGATGCATAAAGGATAAACATCACATGCAATCAATATAAGTGATATGATATGGCCATCATCATCTTGTGCTTGTGATCTCCATCTCCTGAAGCACCGTCGTGATCACCATTGACACCGGCGCGACACCTTGATCTCCATCGCAGCATCGTTGTCGTCTCGCCAACTATTGCTTCTACGACTATCGCTACTGCTTAGTGATAAAGTAAAGCAATTACATGGCGTTTGCATTTCATACAATAAAGTGACAACCATATGGCTCCTGCCAGTTGCCGATAACTTGGTTACAAAACATGATCATCTCATACAATAAAATATAGCATCACGTCTTGACCATATCACATCACAACATGCCCTGCAAAAACAAGTTAGACGTCCTCTACTTTGTTGTTGCAACTTTTACGTGGCTGCTACGGGCTGAGCAAGAACCGTTCTTACCTACGCATCAAAACCACAATGATAGTTTGTCAAGTTGGTGCTGTTTTAACCTTCGCAAGGACCGGGCGTAGCCACACTCGGTTCAACTAAAGTGAGAGAGACAGACACCCGCCAGTCACCTTTAAGCAACGAGTGCTTGCAGTGGTGAAACCAGTCTCGCGTAAGCGTACGCGTTATGTCGGTCCGGGCCGCTTCATCTCACAATACCACTGAACCAAAGTATGACATGCTGGTAAGCAGTATGACTTGTATCGCCCACAACTCACTTGTGTTCTACTCGTGCATATAACATCAACGCATAAAACCAGGCTCGGATGCCACTGAAGGGGAACGTAGTACTTTCAAAAATTTTCCTACGCTCACGCAAGATCATGGTGATGGCATAGCAACGAGAGGGGAGAGTATTGTCCACGTACCCTTGTAGACCGTAAGCGGAAGCGTTATGACGACGCGGTTGATGTAGTCGTACGTCTTCACGATCCGACCGATCCAAGTACCGAACGTACGGCACCTCCAAGTTCAGCACACGTTCAGCTCGATGACGATCCCCGGACTCTGATCCAGCAAAGTGTCGGGGATGAGTTTCGTCAGCACGACGGCATGGTGACGATGATGATGCTCTACCGGCGCAGGGCTTCGCCTAAACTCCGCGACGATATGACCGAGGTGTAATATGGTGGAGGGGGGCACCGCACACGGCTAAGGAACGATCCGTAGATCAACTTGTGTGTCATGGGGTGCCCCCCTGCCCCCGTATATAAAGGAGGGAGGGGGAGGTGCGGCCGGCCCCCATGGGGTGCGCCTGGAGGAGTCCTACTCCCACCGGGAGTAGGACTCCCCCCTCTTGCCTTGTTGGAGAAGGAAAGGGGGGAGGGGAAAGAGGAAGGGGGGCGCCGCCCCCCCCCCTCTCCTTGTCCTATTTGGACTAGGGGGGAGGGGGCGCGCGGCCTGCCCTGGCCGGCCCTCCTCTTGTCGCTCATGGCCCACTAAGGCCCAATATCCCCCGGGAGGGTTCCGGTAACCCCCCGGTGTTCCGGTAAAATCCCGACTTCACCCGGAACCATTCCGATATCCAAATATAGGCTTCCAATATATCAATCTTTATGTTTCGACCATTTTGAGACTCCTCGTCATGTCCGTGATCACATCCGGGACTCCGAACAAACTTTGGTACATCAAAACTTATAAACTCATAATAAAATTGTCATCGTAACGTTAAGCGTGCGGACCCTACGGGTTCGAGAACTATGTAGACATGACCTAGAACTATTCTCGGTCAATAACCAATAGTGGAACCTGGATGCCCATATTGGTTCCTACATATTCTACGAAGATCTTTATAGGTCAAACCGCATAACGACATACGTTGTTCCTTTTGTCATCGGTATGTTACTTGCCCGAGATTCGATCGTCGGTATCCAATACCTAGTTCAATCTCGTTACCGGCAAGTCTCTTTACTCGTTCCGTAATACATCATCTCGTAACTAACTTATTAGTTGCAATGCTTGCAAGGCTTATGTGATGTGTATTACCGAGAGGGCCCAGAGATACCTCTCTGACAATCGAAGTGACAAAACCTAATCTTGAAATACGCCAACCCAACATGTACCTTTGGAGACACCTGTAGTACTCCTTTATAATCACCCAGTTACGTTGTGACGTTTGGTAGCACCCAAAGTGTTCCTCCGGTAAACAGGAGTTGCATAATCTCATAGTTACAGGAACATGTATAGGTCATGAAGAAAGCAATAGCAATATACTAAACGATCAAGTGCTAGGCTAACGGAATGGGTCATGTCAATCACATCATTCTCCTAATGATGTGATCCCATTAATCAAATAACAACACATGTCTATGATTAGGAAACATAACCATCTTTGATTAATGAGCTAGTCAAGTAGAGGCATACTAGTGACTATATGTTTGTCTATGTATTCACACATGTATCATGTTTCCGGTTAATACAATTCTAGCATGAATAATAAACATTTATCATGATATGAGGAAATAAATAATAACTTTATTATTGCCTCTAGGGCATATTTCCTTCAAAGACAAACTCGATACTCGTGGTCTTGAGACTTGTAATGTTTTATCTTTTGTTCGGTCTTTTGAATTCGGAGACTAATATGATGAATTGTATTCGGAGACTAATCTTCTATTGTATTCGATGAATCTGCTGTTGTTGTGTGCTGCTGTCTATATTTTGTTCAATAATATATTTTGTAACCTGTGCAAAAATTAGAAAAGTAAAAAAAACAAATATTCATACTAATGGCGCATCACCTCCAGGTGCGCCATTAGTATGCCAAAGGATACTAATGGCGCATCACCTCAGAATGCGCCATTAGTATGGCAAAGCACATGGTTACGTATGGCCCCCCGGGAGGCATACTAATGGCGCATGTTCTTACATACTAATGGCGCACTGCGTGATGCGCCATTAGTATACCAGATACTAATGGCGCACCAGTGGTGCGCCATTAGTAAAAAATACTAGTGGCGTGCTACTAATGGCGCACCGGTAGTGCGCCATTAGTAGGCAAAACCGGTGCGCCATTAGTAGGCCTTTTCCTAGTAGTGCACGCTCCTGTCCGATGAGTCGAGTCGAAAGTAGTGATGTGTAGTTCTGAAACATTGATTGGCTCATGTTGTAATTAAACTTTAATGAATTCGTATGTCTCTTTGGTTTGGACAGTCGTTCAACTTAGATGTAATCGATGCTATTTGTTAGTAGGACCATGAATCGTGCTATTAATGTTTTGCTTTTCTCTTTCGATCCTTTTGTTGCATACTTACATATTGCTTATGTATTGTCTGTTGTTTGGCTTGTGCATAGAGATGCCGTCGTATGTCATGTACAAGGGTAAGGTTCCCGGAGTCTATGACGACTGGGAGGAGTGTCGGAGACAGGTTCACCGTTTCAGCGGTAACAGTTACAAAGGGTACACCACTAGGGCGGAGGCCGAATCTAGATACGCCCGCTATCTAGCTGGAGAGAGGAGGCAACGTTTGAGGAACCGGATGAAGACCAGTTTGATCGCGATGATGCTCATCGTGATGACCGCAACTCTCTTCTATGTGATGGTAGTTTAGATGATCGATATCGACTTGCAATGTGAAGACAAACTCGATACTCGCGGTCTTGAGACTTGTAATGTTTTATTTTGTTCGGTCTTTTGAATTCGGAGACTAATATGATGAATTGTATTAGGAGACTAATCTTCTATTGTATTCGATGAATCTGATGTTGCTGTGTGCTGCTGTCTATATTCTGTTCAATAATATATTTTGTAACCTGTGCAAAAATCAGAAAAGTAAAAAAAACCAAATATTCATACTAATGGCGCATCACCTCCAGGTGCGCCATTAGTGTGCCAAAGGATACTAATGGCGCATCACCTCCAGGTGCGCCATTAGTGTGCCAAAGGATACTAATGGCGCATCACCACAGAGTGCGCCATTAGTATGAAAAAGTACATGGTTACGTATGCCCCCCGAGAGGCACACTAATGGCGCATGGTGTTACATACTAATGGCGCACCATTGGTACACCATTAGTAAAAAATACTAGTGGCGTGGTACTAATGGCGCACTGGTAGTGCGTCATTAGTAGGCAAAACCGGTGCGTCATTAGTACGCCTTTTCCTAGTAGTGTCGTCCATGTAGAAATAGAGAGCACAGTACATTAGCTCCCAATGAAAGAAAAATATGGGTCGACATATAATAGGGGTATTAAAGCTGATGCTTCTTTAAGTGTGTTATAGACTAGCTACTAACTAGTACTCCCTCCGTTCCTAAATATTTGTTTTTGTAGGGATTTCACTATAGACCACATATAAACGTATATGGATGCATTTTAGTGTGCAGATTCACTCGTACTGGCGCACCTCAGGTCTCTCGCCGCCCCTCCCTTGCTTTTTTCACCTCCCCACACACAAAAAGAAAATTCCATCCCCTCTCCTCCCCTCTCCTCTCCTATCCTCTCTGGGAAGGGAAGGTCTCGCACTGCTGTCAAAAAAAAAGGGAAGGTCTCACACTCCCGACACGAGTCAACGTACCCCTCTCTCTCCCTCTCTCAGTCCAGTCTAGCCGGCGGCGATCGCGGAGGGGCGATGGTGAGGGGCGGGAGCATGCGCCGGCCCTCGCTGGCGGTGGCCGAGCCCGCGGCGCCGGAGTTCACCCTGTCGGCGGGCGACTACAGGCTCATGGAGGAGGTGGGCTTCGGTGCCAACGCCGTCGTCTACCGTGCCATCTTCCTCCCCGCCAACTGCACCATCGCCGTCAAGTGCCTCGATCTCGATCGGGTCAACAGTAACCTCGTGCGTCAGGATGCAGTGAATTCAATGTAGGATATATCCCATCCCATGATGATCTATCTTGTTTCGATGCAGTTTTTTTCTATTTCATTTCAAGGGATTGCTTCAAGGGATCGTTTCAAGGGATCGTGGATGCACATAGTTTCTGTAGTTGGCCCGATCACCTGGAATACCGCTCGCTCATTTCTTAAGTGCCAAACTGTATACTTACCAATGAAAATTAAAATGGTATTCATAATGAATGGATTTGTATATTTTACTCCTTTTTTAGTCCAATGTTTGGTGCTCTTCCCTCTTGGTGTTCCCTTTCTCCTCAGAATGACTCGTACTGTATTTCACACCTCGCAATGGTACCTGATATCTATATGTCCCTTCCAGGATGATGTTCGCAAGGAGGCTCAGATTATGAAATCGATAGATCATCCTAATGTCATCAAGGCTTATTGCTCATTTGTTGTCGATCACAACCTTTGGGTCATAATGCCCTTCATGGCAGAGGGTTCATGTTTACACCTTATGAAGGTCGCACATCCTGATGGTCTGGAGGAGCCTGTTATCTGCTCTATTCTTAAAGAAACACTCAAGGCTCTGGCTTACCTCCATGGCCAAGGACATATCCACCGAGATGTTAAGGTTTGCCTTTTCCAACCTATAGGGTTTGTGTTTGCTCATTTTATCAGTGCTTTTGCTCAATGTATGTAACTTTGTGCAGGCGGGCAATATCCTTGTTGATAGCCCTGGTGTAGTGAAGCTTGGGGACTTTGGTGTATCTGCTTGCTTGTTTGACAGAGGCGATAGGCAAAGATCCAGGAATACGTTTGTGGGAACACCATGCTGGTAGCTGTGTTTTTCCAAATTTCTCCTTTCAGAGTCTCAATAAGTTTGAACGATTTAGGAAAATGCCCTGTTTGGTATGATATCTTCTTTTGTTTGGTGTTCAGGATGGCTCCAGAAGTTCTCCAGCCTAGAACCGGTTATAATTTCAAGTATGTTCTGAATATCATGCTCATGTTATCTTTGCATCCCAAAATTCCTATGGCTAAAGACATGAAGAATTTCAGGCCTATTAGCCTTAGTAATTGTGTTGTTAAGATCTTTTCCAAAGCTAGGACCACTAGGGCCTCCCCCCTTTGTGACAGACTAATCTCTTCTAATCAAACTGCGTTTATAAAAGGGAGGTTCATTTTAGAAAGTGTGGTTATGGCTCATGAAGTCATTCATGAAGTTCATAGATCTGGGACTCCTGGTTTGGTTCTTAAGCTAGATTATGAGAAAGCCTATGATAGAGTGAGCTGGGATTTTCTAAAAGAGATGCTTCTATCTAGAGGATTTGGTAATAAATGGGTGGATTGGGTGATCTCCACCATTCATCAAAGCACATTCCAAGTTAGGATCAATGATGCTAATGGTCCCCAGTTCTCTGGGGGGAAGGGATTGAAGCAGGGTGACCCTCACTCACCCCTTCTTTTTAACCTGGTGGCTGATGTGTTTTCAAAAATGCTTCAAAAAGCTACAAGTAGTGGCTTAATTTGTGGACTTCTGCCACAGGCCTTTCCGGGTGGGGTGGTCAGCCTGCAATATGCGGATGACACCATCTTGTTTTTAGAGACTTCATTGGACTATGCTAAAAATTTGTAGTGGATTCTTTCATGCTTTGAACATTTGTCGGGTTTGAAAATTAATTTTCATAAAAGTGATTTACATGCTATTAATATCTCTGAACAGTTGTCTAATGAATTTGCCCAAGTTTTTTGCTGCCAGGTGGGGGATTTCCCTTTCAAATATTTAGGTGTCCCCCTTCACTTTAAAAAGTTGAGGAGGGAGGACCTTCAACCCATTATTGATAGGATTATTAAGAACATCTCGGGCTGGTTGGGAAGATTTCTATCTTACAAAGGAAAATTGATTTTGCTTACCACATGCATTGCTAGCATTCCTGCTTATCTTATGTCTATTATGAAATTTCCCAAATGGGCAATTGATATGATTAATTCTCAGATGTCTCATTTCTTTTGGGGCAACATGGGGGATTGTCATAAATACCACCTTGCTAATTGGGGGCTGATATCTAGGAGAAAAGAGTTCGGTGGCTTGGGGGTACCCAATCTTAGAGAATTTAACATGGCTCTCTTGGCATCGTGGGGAAAGAGGTTTTATGACGAAAGGGACAGTGATTGGAAGAAATTGTTAAAATATAAATATAATACCACTTGTCCAAAAAATTTTAATACTAGGGTGGTTCTTGGTTCTCCATTTATGAAGAGTTTATCTTGGGCTCTTGCAGCTGCTAAGAACTTCTATAGATGGATTCCTGAGGATGGGAATAGCATTGCCTTTTGGCATGATATCTGGGCAGGAGATTGCTCCTTGAAAACTGCATTTTGGGATCTTTACAATATTTGCCATCAACAGGAGGCTACCCTGGCCCAGGTCTGGGTGGATGGTGAGCTTCGGTTAACTTTTAGGAGATGTGTCGCTGAGAATACATTAGTTAGATGGGAGGAGCTCAATGAGATTGTTAAGACTGTGTGCTTGTCCAACTCGCCGGATCAACCTCTCTGGATGTTAGATTCTTCTAACAAGTACTCTGTCAAATCCTTTTACAAACTAATCAACTTTGGAGGGATTCCTTCTATCGTTAGAGATGACATTTGGAAGATCAAAGTGCCTCCAAATATACATGTCTTTCTCTGGCTGATTTATTATAACAAGAGTCTTACCAGAGATAATCTAGCTAAACATAGGCATGTTGAGGACATGTCGTGTGTCTTTTGCTGTGAACCTGAATCTATTCAACACCTATTTTTTGATTGCGTTGTTGCTGAATCTGTCTGGAACTTAATTGCTGATATCTTTGCGATAAATATTCCTAAATCTTTTGATCAACTAACTTCCTTCTGGAAGAGAAGGAAACATTGTGAAGCCTTGAATATTGTTTCTGCTGCTGCCTTGTGGAGCTTATGGCGTCTTCGGAATGATTTTGTTTTCCAGGGGCGAAGATGGCGAAGCATGAGGTGTGTCCTGGACCTGTTTGGGGCGACGATCAAGAAATGGAAAGTTCTATGTTCCGAGGCGCAGGGTGCGCTACTTCTCCGATGCTTAAGACTTTTGGACCACCGAAGAGGGGAGTTTCTTAGGATTGCGTGGAGATCCTAGTGCTCTTTATGAGTATGGAGCTGTAGTCGCTGTTACTTGTGTTTGAACTATCCTAAGCTTGTAATAGGGCTAAACCCTCTCTATCTGCGGCAGCTACTCTCTGTCGTCGAGCGCTGTTTAACAGTCCGTAACTGGTTTGGTTTGCCTTGGCTTTTATAAAAAGTTGGGGTGGGGGGAAACCCCTTTTCATAAAAAAAACATGTTATCTTTGCTACTCTATAATACCTTTAGATGCAGTACTTCAAGTTTGTCTGGTTATTTTTTAACTATAAATAAGCTATGTACATTGGAATCATATGTTATTAGTACGCCTGTGGTCACTAAAGTAGTCTCTCGAATTTTATGTTTATATTAAATGATCAATCACTATCTCTAATTTGAAGAAACAAGGCTATCAATCTTCCTTACCAGTAGTAGAAAAGGGGGCAATGGCCCAGGTCAGTTCAGCCCATTAGTCTCGGTTCTGCCACGAACCGGGACCAATGGAGGTATTTGTCCCGGTTCGTGAGCCCAGGGGGCCGGCCGGGCCATGTGGCCCATTGGTCCTGGTTCGTCCAGACCTTTTGGTCCCGATTGGTGGGACGAACCGGGACCAATGGGCGTGTCTCCTGGCCCACCACTATTGGTCCCGGTTGGTGGCTTGAACCGGGACCAAAGGCTTCCTTTTTGTCCCGGTTCATGTCACCAACCGGGACCAATGGTGGTGCCTATATATACCCCCTCGCGCAAGAGCAGAGCACACTGCTCTGTTTTTTCTGGCCGAGGGGGAGAGGGCTTGGTGGTGCTCTAGCTCACCTCGTATGCACACAAGGTGTTTGATGGAATGTCCGAGCCACACTACTTAAGGTTTCTCCTCTCCAAGCTCGACTGCCAAGCTCCATTTTCCTCAATATTTGTCTAGGTTTAGCGGTCCGTCACGCCCCGTCCCCGTCTTCACCGCCGTCGATCACCCGCGCCGATCTCATCGCCGGCACCACCGTGGTGAGCCTCTTGTTCTTATCTTCTTTCTGAAAGGAAAAATATTCTTATTTGTATGTTTAGATAGATACTTGTATTATTTTCTTACTTTTATTATTGCATCTTATATAGTGCGATGGTTTTGGTATCCGCCCCCGTCGGCCCTCGTCCTGTCTATGATTCGGATGTGGTATATATTATCTTTTCATAACTATTGGTTCATTTATTGTTTATGAAAATTATGCCGACAAATGTGACATAGATTTTATTTATCTAGGAGGTTGTTGAACCAGAAATTCCAACCGACCCTATTGTCGAGAGGTTAAATTTACTTGAAGAATAAAACAATTTCTTGAAGGAAAAAATAAAAAAACTTGAGGAGGAGAAGATGATATTGGAGTTGCATGTTGCGGATGTCGTCGATGATCACAAGATCAAGATGGATGCAATGCGCTTGAAAATTAGAAAGATTAGAAAATATGCCATTCATACCGAGGCTTGGTATCATTATGCCGTTGAATCAGTTGTTACCTTGGTTGCGATTATGATCGCATTTGTTTTCGCATTGAAATGTTTTACATAGTTTCAATGTATGGTTTAATTAATTTAGATGCTCTGCAGAGATTTATGTTGTTAGATGAGAACTATGTATGTACTTTGGTTTTTATGTGATGATGAACTTCTATTAATTTGGTCACTTAATTATTTATTCATGATGTTCTGTAATGATTTTTGACACACTTAATTATATATAATGCACGCAGATGAACCGGCAATGGATGTACGGTGACAGACACACCTCTTCAATATCATGACGCACGTCCTAGTTCATCTAGTCGATGAGATTGTCATTCTGGGGCCCGTATTTCTACACAATATGTACCCCTTTGAGAGGTTCATGGGAGCCCTAAAGAAATATGTCCGTAACCGTGCTAGGCCAGAAGGAAGCATCTCCATGGGCCATCAAACAGAGGATGTCATCGGGTTTTGTGTTGACTTCATTTCTGGCCTTAAGAAGATAGGTCTCCCTAAATCGCGGTATGAGGGGAGACTGACTGGAAAAGGCACGCTTGGAAGGGACTCAATAATATGCAGGGACGGATATTCTTGGTCTCAAGCACACTACACAGTTATATAGAACTCTACCTTGGTGACCCCGTATGTCGATGAACACAAGAACAGTCTGCGCTCCAAACACCCGGAGCAGTGCGACGACTGGATTACATGTGAACACATCAGTACTTTCAGCAGTTGGTTGGAAACACATCTCAGAGGTGACATCACTGTTTGTGATGAGCTGTACTTGTTGTCCAGGGGACCATCTTCGACTGTAATGATTTGGAAAGGATACGAGATAAATGAGAATACATTTTACACGATTGACCAAGATCAAAAGAGCACCAACCAAAACAACAATGTCCGCTTTGATGCAGCAACCGATAGGGGAAAGGACACATATTATGGTTACATAGTAGACATATGGAAACTTGACTACAGAGTAGATTTTAAGGTCCCTTTGTTTAAGTGCAAGTGGGTCAATCTGTCAGGAGGCGGGGTACAGGTAGACCCACAGTACGGAATGACAACAGTGGATCTGAAAAATCTTGGGTACACTGACGAACCGTTCGTCCTAGCCAATGATGTGGCATAGGTTATCTATGTGAAGGACATGTCTACCAGACCGAGAAAAAGAAAAGATAAGGAAGCGAATACATCATACGATGATCCAAAGCGCCACATAGTTCTTTCAGGAAAAAGGGACATCCTGAGAGTGGAGGGCAAGACGGACATGTCTGAAGAGTATGAAAAGTTTCATGAAATTCCTCCCTTCAAAGTCAAGGCTGACCCAAGCATCCTGATAAACGATGAAGAT